GAGGCGGATAAGTAACTCATATATCTGGGGATGCTTTGTGTGTGTGCAGTCTGCATATTCTGCCCATATTTACCTGCCCTTCCTTACATATTCTGATTTCCTCCCACAATCCAAAGACACTTAGATGAATGGGCATCTCTAAATTATCCATAATGTTTGATAGTGTGTGTCTGAGTGCGTTAATCATTTGATGGGCCGGCATCCAATACAATATGCCCCGTTGGAATGGCTACAGTCTCTCTGTAAATATATTCTGGATAAGCAGCTATGGAAATTGGAAGAATAGGTAGGAAATATAGCTCAGAAAAGTGTGCATACCCTATCTGGATACATGTGACGCTTTGAGGATTCTACATTCCACTCTTCTACATATAACCCTTGAAATTCTGTCAAATTTTGGGGAGAGCTCTTCAAACCATTGCACAGTTTTTCCCAGTTGGACTAGACTTTGTGTGGCCCACTCCAGAACTTTTACATGGTGTTCTGTGTCCTCTCCATTGTTCCTATGGGTTATTGCCATGGTAAGCTTCTCTCCAAATGTCAGTGGAGACATTTGGAGAGAAGGGCGTAGGGTTTCTCCAAGAATCGGGCCGTTTTTGGCACCGTCCTTCTATCCAAATTCATGACATGGAGGAGCACCCCCCCGGAAGGATGCTGTGCCCCCCCTTGCCATTACATGTTATGCTGGTGTTCTTTTAGTGCTGTACTATGTTCAGGTTTTCAGGTTTTAGCAAATGTAGCTTTTTTTTTTTTCGAGGCAAGAAAGTTCTTTCTTGGTTTCTTCTGACCACAAAACTGTTTTCCACATGATTCCAGGACCCCCAGAGTGTTGCTCCACACCTTAAACAAGCCTCGATATGAGCTTCTGTGAGGTACTGATCCTTTTCCCGGCATCTCCACAGAAGCTACATTTGAGTGGTACATGTGATACTGTTGTATCATGTGCAAACTCACGTGCAGAAATTGACAAAAAGGTCTGCAGCTTTTCCAAGGAAGCCACAGTGCTATCAGTGACCTTTGCAGTCAGTCTCTCCCTGGTTCCAAAACCTGGTTTGACAGGCGCGGTCTGGGTGGTCATGAGCTATGGGTAATGACCGAAAGAATGAGATCGCGAATACAGGCGGCCGAAATGAGGTTTCTCCGCAGGGTGTCTGGGCTCTCCCTTGGATTGTCACCTTATCGTGGTGGAGGGGTTTGCGTGCCTCAGTGACCCTGGGGGCTATGTTGTCGGGGTCAATAGCCCCTGGTAGGGTCTCCCAAGGCAAAAAGGTCCCAGGGGAGGGGCCAGACAAAGAGCAATCCAAAAGAACCCTATGAAAAAGCGACAGATAATGGATGGATGGATGGTCTGGGTGGTTCAATATGGCCTTGATTGTGTTCGTTTTGGGTAGGGCTAACAAAATACTTTTAAAACTTTTTATTCCCGATCTGTGCTCTTCCACAGCCTAATTCTCAACAGCTTCTAGAAGTTCATTGTTCCTCATTGTTAAATCTCTACTTTGAGATCCATCACCCTGTAAAGGAGGCTTACAGGAGCAGTTCCCACCTTGCTGGAATCATTACAGGAGCAAGCTAATTAGCTCGCGTCTTCTTGAAGACAGTTGGCAAGACCTGAGTTTATTAATAGTGTCTGTTATTGAGGTCTGTACACTTTTTCCCATTCAAGGTCTCAGAGCATATAATTTTCAAGTTATTTTCTAAATGTGTTGGAATTTGGCTTTTCTGGTTGTAAATGCAAGAAAAATTACTGATTATGAAAGAATTCATAGCCTTACTATATTCTGAATTCACTACATAAATCGCATTAGTACAACCATGGCACAATAACACGTGAATAGGTCTCAAATATCTTTTAGTGAACAGATTTTTATTGCTGAATTAGTGTTTTTCTCATTAAAGTGCTGTCATTAAATAATTTCGCTGTTATGTAGATATGGCCGCCCGAAATTAGTGTCGTAAGTAATGCCTTGATTTCCATCCTGCAGCACGGCTAATCCAACACAACCCTCTGCGGGCATTCAAGCGTCATTCCTCACATAACTCCTTAAAAAACGGTGCTGTTTCGGGGTCACCGTGGCCTAATTTCAATCTCAGGCACTGTGAGGTAAATCGGCGCCATCGTTTAAGGATGCATTCAGCATTCTCCAGCAGTAACGACGGACGAATCAGAATTCTTCCAGCCTGGCAGCCTGCAAATTGTCGTTTAATGGTAACCAGTAAAACGGGAAATAGCAAATATAAATACTGACAAATTGTTTTCGCATTGGCAGGCACCCACCCCCTTCTCCCCCCAACTTCCCTCTCCATCCATCGTACAAGTATCTCCTCAATGAGAGCAGACGTAAAGTAATGACTCTATTAATGGGAAACTTGACAAGCAGTAAGTAAACACAACTGCACTGTCATAGAGTAATCGACTGACATTTCTTAAATTAAAATGTAATTATAAATGCATTTTATTAGATAGCTATTATTTAACTAAAATAAAACAATTTGCTAAATGAATCCTAATTTTCATTATCAGGGGTAAAGTATTGTTTTAAATGATATAAGGATCTTTTGAGTCATAACTCACACGCACACAAATTTGAAAAGGAAACCAGTGCTGGAAGATTGAAAGTGACGACACAGACAGCACAGCAGTAAGATGAGGTCAGAAAGCCCTGCCTCAGTCTTCTGTGTAGATAAGATGCGGTTGATTCTGCTGTTTTATTTTGGAGATTTTTATTGGCCTCCCACTCTGATTTTATCCTCGCCATCTCGATCAGTTCACGCCGCGACTCGTGGTGGGGGGGGGGAGGGGGTGACACAGAAGATGAGGCACGCGGCCGCAGGAAGGGACGTCACGCGGGGCTGCCGCTTGTGATTAACCCGACCCCGCCGGTTGGCGAGAGCTGCCCTCGCAAAAATATATATGGGAGCTCGCAGCGTGTGGCGACTCGGCGAGGAGCACGGAGCTAAGTTAAACGGAGAGCTCACTCCCAGATAAATGGCTGAGCCGATGAGACACACACTCACCTAAGTGAGAACGTGCGCACTGAGAACCGCCTGTGACCGCTGACACTGCACCTAAATCCATCTCTACAGACTATAATTGAAACGTACCTTCTAACTCCATGCCAGTTTCTCTGCTGTGATTTTGCCGCAATCTGGCAGCAGCCGACTCAAGTTAATCAATGGCCACTTCAACAGGTTGCGGGGTTTATAGCCAAGACCTCTGTTTATTTGTCTTTTACATACTCTAGCTATATTAAGTGTCTTAGCTCGTGCTATTAGTCCAAATTTTGACAAGATTTGGGACAGACTTTCCAAGTTTCAATCCAAGCAGCACTTTGATAATGTTAAAATTACTTATTGATAAACACATCAAATAACTTAAGTCTGGGAAACAAATTAATGAATTAACCAGAATGTATTCTGATGTGCAGCGATATTTAAAAACACCAAGTGTAAATGATTCTTTCAAATTTCTACAACATTCATGTTAACTGTATAATGCCAGAACAATTTGCTTCACTTATTATTACCTCACACTCTTGGGACCAGGGTTCGAGTCTCAGCCATGGCTCCATGTGTGTGGAGTTTGCATCTTCTCCCCATGTTGTAGTGGGGTTTCCTATATATAAAAATATATATAATTATAGTTATATACAAAAAGGAGCCCATCCCCAAGTGAGAAAATATCTACGGGGGGGCTCGTCGGAAGTGAACGAATCAATGAAGGTATCTTTAGGTTGAACGAACTGTACAGGATCGATTTCCTGAAAGGACTCATGGTTTCCGTCTATAAATGCTGTTGACAGGCATTTGCAAGCGCCTGCTTCCACGGCCTGTGTCTGGTATCAGATTAACTGTGATACGGAAACATTTTTAGTGCCCCCTGATGTTACGTCTCGTAGGGTGAGGAACAGCCCGACTGCTTTCCTACCTTTATGTCTTTCGGATCTAACAACCTGCTACAGTATATCGTGTTGTCGTCAGGCACAGTCTTATTATATGTACAGGGATATTATGATATATTTAACTCCAGCATTAATATGTTATTAGATCATGGAAGTAATCGGTCAAAGATTTCTCGGTAATCTTGATGTAGGCTTATTTTTTGAATTGTATCATCATGAAATAAAGAGTAACAATAAATAAGGATTTAAGTCATGATTTTTATTTTTGTTGTAGATTGGATTTCCTTTCTCTTTATTATTATTTTTATTATCATTATTATTATTGACGCTAAACCATTTCTTTTAAGATATTAAAAATAATAATAATTATTATTATTATTGTTGTTGTTGATCTTGCTTTTGTTGTTGTTTTCCAGACTGGAATTAAACACGTGACTTTCAAGGTCAGGTTCAGAGTCAGGACACGGCATGTCAACTGCGGCATTAACAGAAATGAATATTAACTCAGCCGGTGCCTTTCGTGACAGTGTGTAAATTATAATGAATGTTGTTTATTACTTCTGTGTTCCTCAACGTGGCAACACCCGCTAATCCATAATACAGCGGGGAATCAATGCCATTAAACACTGAACATTTATATTCCACAGCAAGGATTAATTAGAGAGAAAGATAAATGCAAACGGGAGAGTCTGTAAACATACGATTGAATGAGTTTGATTCATTAGGCCGATGGGTTTTTTGACATTTAACAGTATATTGTGCCGAACATTGATTTACCTTTACAGGAGCATTTTCATGTGAGAGTTACGTTTCTGTGAAATTGTGTCCCTTATCATTTAAGGATATTTCCATATGAAAAAGACTGTTGCAGATAAACTTAATGTTGACTATGTCTTCGATTAAATTTCAAACTTTTGAAAACTTTTGAAAAATCGAAATTTACGTGCATTTGCAGGCTACTTTACCTTAATACGATATTTAAACATAGCTAATTCGCAATTTTATTTTTTTACAATGCATTTTATTAATTGATGCCTTTATTGATGTGCTGCTGCATTTTCTTCAGTGCTGATGACCATCCTGGCTTGTGTTCTGCAGGCATTTCCTGTTCAAACACGGCTCTGGCTCCTCCGCCCTCTTCAGTGCGGCCAGCCAGAACTACCCGCTCACCTCCAACACCGTTTACTCGCCGCCTCCTCGCCCGCTGCCCAGGAGCACCTTCTCCAGGCCCGCCTTCACCTTCAGCAAGCCTTACAAGTGCTGCAACTGGAAATGCACCGCCCTCAGTGCCACCGCCATCACGGTCACCCTTGCCCTCCTGCTCACCTACGTCGTCGGTGAGTGGAGATCCCGTCTCACGTCGGGCACATTAGGACAGGGCTGTTCAAATCACAGCCCTCAAGGACTGAGCACTGCTGACTTTCCAGCCTCTCCTGTCGCCAATCAGAATCAGTAATTTTTAAATTAACCACCTGGAAGAACTGAAAACAAGGCCTGGATTTGGAATCAGGGGTCAGATTTCTGCATCAAGAACTACATTGGAATATGATCCATTGCTGTGTTTAGCTTAACATTTGGATAAGTGACTAAATTCAGCTTTAGTAAATATGGCATCTGAAATACCCATTTGGTTATGCCATAGTGCAGTCTCAATCCTTGTCTTTTGGGACCCGCAGACAGTCCATGTTTTTGCTCCCTCCAAGTTCCCAGCAAAAATGTGGATTTTCTGGCTGGGAGCTGGGAGGGAGCGAAAACATGCACTGTCTGCTGGTCCCCAAGGACTGGGTTGGTGAAGCCATGCTCTAGTAGACTGAAACCATGCAAAACCAAAACCCCTTATTCTGGGCCCAAACGGTGCTAGTAAGTAACCAAGTTCCTCCGCTCCTGGAAGTTCTCCCGTTTGTAACCATATTTCCCGTGATTTGCAGCGATGACATTGAATTATTACTGGTGCAAGATCATAGGAGGAAATGATTTTTTTTTGCTCTGCGGACCTCTGCTGCTGCAGGCTGAGCTGGAATGGCTAATATGCCACATAACTCAGGACGGAGGAAAGCAATAGAGATCGCAGCTGTTTTATCTATTAGAAATAAAATATCACAGAAGGCTGAATGAAAGCCCACACCTCAAACGGGAGCCACACGCCTTTGAGTCTTTGATGCGTTTACTTTTGGTTCTCCTTTAAATCAATACAGCGATCCCTTTTTTTTCTGACATTAAACATTGCAATGCCCTTGTGAAATACAAGCAACATAAAGCTCACTTTTTTCCCAAATAATACAGACCTGTGTTATCTACATGCCGGTGAGACACTGGGTTGCCTTGCTTGTTTTTTTTCTTGTTATTTTCATTCTTTCAGTTCAGATTTACTTATAATGTGTTTGCGACTAAAAGGTAACACTTGCTTAAAGGTGTTAGAGTTACGAATAAACATCACAGGAGCTGGATCAAAACAAGAGATTCGTTTAAAAAACAAGGCCTTCATTTTAAATGACGAGTCGGCCTATTGTTTAGCTGCGGAGCAGCACTGATGTGGTTTCGGGGGCAGTTTTCCCTTTGGCTCCGGCATTTTTCTGAACAACCTTTGTGAAATTCCTCCTTGAATATTGCTGAGAGCTACCGGCCTTCCATTTAAGCGAAAAGGGGCTTGGATCCCAGTCAGTGAGGATGGAGCCAAGTACAAGCTACAGCCAGGCAAATAAAAACAGGATTTGCTTAATTATTTGACCGTGTATTAGCCTTTATTTAACGATGCGGCTGCTCTAGGCATGTTCAGCGCACTCCTTATTGACTCTGTATTGCAAATCGACTTGGCTGAAAGCCTCAGTCTTATTTATGCGTTACAATATACCACGGCGGCTAATTTCCATACATCCAAAACACAGAGATTTTAGTCATTGCTACATCTGTGCCAAACGCACTTCGAAGAAATTATCTTTAAATTTCAACTGACCGTCATTCCCGAGGAAGATCCAAAATTTAAACTCATATTAAGACGCAAAATTGCGAATAAGTGATGAGAGAGAGTGATGCGTCACGGGAAAAGGTGGCCCACGCAGAACCTGCCCGAGATGTCAGCCGGTGCTCATAACCACCGACACGCTTTACGCACTCGCCGGGGAAGGTGTGCGCACCGCAGAGTTCCCCGTGACACCCTGGGATGATCCGGGCTTTGATTTCATTCCAGGAATGTCGGTTCGGAGGGGACATTTAGGTAGCTGCGAGAAGCCCTCTGTACGACATTGACACCAAGCTGAGTTTATCGCGATTGCATTCGGAAGGAGGGGGGGGTTTTAGCCGGTGCTGGACTGTTCATTTATATGCCAGGGGTGCATTCTCATCTTTCTTAGGTAATCGAAATCAGACCCACATCTCTCTGCATCACCGCCCGCCTGCAATCGTAAACTATTTTAAAAATTCAAAAAAAAAAAAAAAAAACGATGTTTGTCTCCCGAAACCTTTTACGTGTCCCTATTTCCTCCCCCCTGCTTCCCCCGCCCCCCCGCGTCCTGCCACAGCCAGCTCTGCCTTATGCTTGTCTGTCCTCTCTGCTCTCCCATACATGCCAAAACACATCAAGCTCAGCTGGCGCGAGTTTACCCACTTCGTCCTCCCACCAGCCGCGAGTACGCTCCACAGGGTCACACGGCGCTGTGTGGGGAGAGATTGCGCCTCCGTTATGTCTGGCTCGCTACTCGACTGGCTAACGTGTCACCCTGACCTGTCGATGTAACCATGCCTCGCGAGTCCGAGCTCAGTTGTTCTGGTTCGGCCCTGCATCCGCGTAGGCCCGCTCTCGTGAGGTTCTGCCGGACGTTCCTGTTGCTTCCTGTGGCAGATTGTTGAATTTTATCTCTCCCTTCTTTGCGCTCTTGCACATGCATGCGCGCATAACGACGGCCCCCTGCCTGAGCTGTACCCCCCACCTCGCGGCCCACGCCTGTCAGAACGCGATCCGGGTCACCGTGTCCTTATAACGGCAGTCCTGGAACCTGGATCCCTGCAGTAACACACAGTGCTGACGGTGCTGGTCTAATGTCACCTTGTTACTTTGGCATTAAAAGCCAGCTCTCTCCACTAATGGATGCTGTTGTCCTGGCCCGGTGTAAATTTCAGGCCTGGTGGGGCGCCGTGTTTAAAGATCACCAAGGGACCCAAACTCGTTAATCCTGCTCAGTAAAGCATGCGCCACCGATCTGATCGAGGCATGAGGCGACACCGTCGTCCAAACACCTCTGCCGCCAGCTCTGCCCCAGCCTCCCTCTGAAATCCTGGGTCGATAGAGCGCCACCGTGACTGGCTCAGCTGCCGATCCGAGGCGAGGATGTTCACTTTCCTGTCTCGACGGAAACGCCGATCCTGGACTGCCACCCAGAGAGGGGCGCAGACCAGAACAAGTACAGCCAAGCGCCTGAGCGATTCCCTACTTCAGTGTTGCATAGTATGCCGTTAAACCCCCCCCCCCCACCCAGGCCCCCCAACTGCGCAAGGTTTTTGCTTACCACACCGAGCCAACCGAACGGATAGGCATCGCGGCCGTCTCACTTCTTGCTATTCTGGTGTGTCCACGCTAAATAGCTGGTCACACTATATGGCCAAGAAGAGAAGATACCTGTTTTTATGGTTCGTTATGGCGTAGTAAAGGACATCTGTCGGAAGCACTGTCACGTAAACAGATTGACGAGTGTTATAATCGATAGGCCTGCGTCATGTCAAAAGGGTGCTGTCCGCTTTGGCTCCCTTTGAAAATCCGCTCGGCTGCCCAGGAATTTATGCTTCCGGGTGACTAGCCTTGAAGCTAGCAGACCTTTCATGCTCCGTTGTGATCATATCGATCGGCCCATTTCCTCTTTGTTTTCGAGGTCTTGCTCCGTTTGGGCTGCCGCCGCTGTAAACTTTGGGCTCACCTTTTTGGAAAGAGCAGGAGCCTCTGGACGTGAGGAGCGCCTCATAAATAATTCCTCGCCTGGAGAAGATGAGACGTCACTCATTCACGCCGTATTAAGCTTCCCCACATTGCGATTTAGGGGCGAAAGCTGGCTGGCCGTTCACCCCCAGCGCAGACGTCGCTCAGATGTTTTATCTGTACTTTTATGTTTATCTTTTTGTCCCTTTGTTTTGTTTTACAGCATTGTTGAATTCCATAGCTATTTAAAGGCCGTCATCGCACTGTACTTGTTTGAATTAGAAGCCCATTTAGCAGTGAGTGGATTTGAAGGAAACGCAATTCAGCTCTTTGTCACCTAATTAGTTTCTATCCCAAATGCGTGGATTATTTGTCTTCTCATTAAGTAAAAGCAAATTAGGAAATTTGGCAGAAGCAACCCATAAATTTACAGAAATGGATTTATGTCGTAATGAACGAGTGATATGTTGGCACAGGGCTCTTCGACCTGGGCTGCTGTTCACCATGTTAGCGCTTGGCTGTATTGTTTGGCACTTTTGCTGATTTTTATACGACCCTAGATTGACGTTTCCACTTCATCAGCCTGATGGCCTTATGCTATTAAACCGTAATGAATATCTTTGCCGGTTGAGGCAAGACGTATATTCAGAAGTATTCATTCAGGTAACTCACGTACCGCATGGATATATTAGTCTAGGCCTCCTTTTCGTGGCCTTGAAGCTACAAGACCTTCCCTCCAGCATAGACTTTGAAGTCTTCTCTTTGCCGAGCAGTTGCCTCTGTGTCAGTCTGACCCAGGCCTGAATCCCTCAAAGAAGGACAGAGAGAATTGGTCCATTATCACCCTCGAATAATGAAGCCCTCTCTCCCTGGCTGAAATATCACCTGCTTTTGTCGCTGCTGGGTTCAGCACGGTTGCCTGGGGTGGGGTGGGGGGGGGGGGGGGGGGGGGGGGGGGGGGGGGGGGGGGGGGGGGGGGGGGGGGGGGGGTAGTTGGCGGGAGTTCCCTCAAAAAGTACGAGTCATGACAATGAAAGTCTCTCACTCAAACCCACCCCCCGACCAGCCTTCACAATGACAGGCTCGGTTTAACAGCCCCTGAAGGATGTGACCGAAACCAGGAACGATTCGACCATTTAAATAAAAAAATAAATCTGTCCGGAACATTCCGCACACAGGGTGCTCAATAGGCCTTGGACATAATGCGGTGTCCTTAGCTGTGATATTTCTTGCTATATTATCCTAAGTTGGAACTGAATGCAGGGAGAAAAAAATATATAATGCGATATAAAATTTTATGCTGTGCTTTCTTCGGCTTGTAAGGAAGACAAAGCCCCTGACTTAGGGGTGAGAAGCACATTTCCTCAGGGATTGTTTATACATTCTCCTTTAAGCGGAGGATCCCTCCCTGCACTTATACATTATTACCGTACAATTTACACAGATCTCCGCGGGGCACCACTGAAGAGTAATGCAACCCAATCCCCGCGGTAATCTCACCGTTAGAATGATAATACCTTGATTTGTAGCTACTTCAGCAAGACGTAATGGCACAGATATACAAGTGGGTTGGGGGGTGGGGGGGTGGTCGGATGGCTAGAAAATTGGTTTCATCCCCGGTCTTAAGCGTGTCCTTATATCTGGCGGTGAGACAGACCACACGCCTTAACGTCATTCTCGCCGGGTCCACTTGCAGGCTGCTTTATAGTGTCTCCTAAGTGACCCGGTCAAGGTTCTGCGGGCGCTCAAAGAGAATGACCCGAGGCTTGAGCTGTAGGTAAGAAATCGCCATAGCGCAGAGGCTAGTCATTATATTCAAACTGAAGCAGAAACGTGCGCGGCAGTATCAAGGTGATAATAGCAGTGAGCTAATAATGAGGATTTTTTGTGCTAGTTCAACAGATCTGACAAATTAATATGTGTGCTGGTGCATGTGACGGGATTTTTGTCTAAATACATAGAGTAACGGATTTTTTAAGCCAAAATATATCCTGCCAGTTATTTAACTGAATTATTAGTGGATGATGACGGTAGTTTACAATTATTGCAACGAAAATATGTTTGCTATTGCTTAAAAGATGCCTCATTTCATATAACAAACAGCCAACTAATGTTTTCCTTAGAAGATTCGTTACTAGATTTCAGTTGGCATTAGTAAAAGTTTAGGCAAAAATGCCAAAGAATTATTTGTCTTTTCTCTGGAGCATAATCTAAGATATTTTGTTGGTTGAAGTATCAAATGACAGCCAATCTCAATTCATTTATCTGATTCATCTGTATTTCCACCGTTTTTAACAGATTCTCTGCTCTATGAATTGACTTGATCCAATTAGAGTTTCATCTTTTTATTCCTTTTATTGAGATCCTGTGTCCTTTAAAGCTGGAACTTGCTTTTGAAGCAATCAAGGTGTTTCAATATAGTTAAACGCTGTATGGACTAACATGCATGTAAGAAATCACATGAGTTACAGTATGATAATGACACAAGTATAGGGCAACTATTGCTTTTGTATGTTTACATTCAGTGTTTTTATCTTGGGCTTATCACACAGAATATAGAAGGCAAATAAAGATTTTTTTTTTTACCTTCTCTCGCATAAAAGTTGTGTGGAATATAGCATTTTAATGAAGAACTACACATAGTTTATGAAGCGTACAATTGCATATTTGCTTATGAAGTTTACAAACAGTGGTTTGTGGCATGTAAACAGATTTATTATACCTGTTTATTATGCTTGTGTGTTCTTTACAAGCAAAACAAGTGTAATTGTCTAGGTGCAATAGATAGCATACAGTATGGTTATTGAAAAGTACTGTTGTTTTACAGATAATTGGGATTTTAAATGATTTTGCTCACATTACATAATTACTTTTATGTTAAATATGTTGCGTAACTGGTTTTGTAGTCTTTCTGAATTTGTACAATATTTCTTGGAGTGTAGAATTCAAATAGATCCAGTAATAGCGTAGCTTTACCATATGTTATTAACTCAGATGACAGGTGGGTTTAATTTTGTTAAAAGCACTCATGTAATTACATAAGCAATTAGCGACATTTCTGCAAAAATATCCCAAAATGCTCTGTCTCTTTCTGCTGTCATGAACCATTCATCCATAAAGGTCATTAGTCATGCATAAAAGGTTACGTAAGGATTATGATGTAAACACTATACTACACAAGATTTCAGGTAATCCCCTCCCCCCTTCCATGCCCCTCCCCCCACAACACAATTCTTAATAAACTTGTAAATAACATGAAACTGTTCATATGTGATGATTTGAACCTAGTCGAATATTCAGCTGAAAACCCATTTCCAGCCAAAAAGTGGCCTTGTGAGAAGTGCGAAGTTCTTCGGGGGGGGGGGCACTGTTTGCATTTGCATTCACTGGTCACCCCTGTCTCCCAAATAACTGAAATTGCCCCCCCCCCCCCGATTTGTTGCAGCAGTGCACCTGTTCGGCCTGACATGGCACCTCAAGCCCGTGGACGGCGAGCTGTACGAGAACGGCGTCAGCCAGCTGGACGGGGACCTGCTGGGCTCAGGCAGCACCGCCTCCCCGGTGGACAAACCTGGCCCTGACAAGATTAACAGGGGCGGGAAAGGAGGTGAGGGCGGCATCCACATTCCCCGCCTGCCGCTTTCCCGCGAACGGGCCTCCCCTCCCCCCCGTGCCGTAAATTCATCCAGACAAAGTGATTTAAACTGCATTAACGCTGTTTCTTTATCAGGTTAATCTCATAGCATAACCTGTCATACATTCCTGACGCGTCGTTTCATCTTCTTGCAGCGAATGCAATCCAGGCCAGATAAGGCGGGGGGGTCGGGAGGGGGGTAATGAACAGGTTGCTCTCCCATTATGAAACATCCGTGTCTGCTGTGCTACCACGAGTGCTACGGCGGTTTTTGGGGTGAGTCGAACAGCTCCGGCGCGTATCGCGTTAAGCGTAATCAGTCCGAGCGAAAGAACAGCACTTCATCCTGAGAGATACCGCGGATGTTGGGCTCCCTATTACGTGATTCCATAACGTTTCTTGGAAACCGCGGGAGATGGAACAGCCTAGCATGGCTGGACCGAGGCGTAATACAAAGCAGAGATTAACACTGGGTGGGGCTGCCGCACGTCCTTCATTTTACAGGGTCATTCCGCAGTGAAAAAAGTAAAATGCAAATGCCCCATTCTGAATCAAATTGGGGCTCAATTTGTCCTGTATTTTGTGATTTTATTTTAGGGCCCTGGGGGCGGGATCCCGTATTTCTTTAGATTGAAAGTGGCGACCCTAAGGACGAGCTCGATCACGATACCTCTTGTGTGTCAATAGGAACATCAGCTACAGGGAAACATTAATGCACGGGTTTACCCAGGCAGAAGCCCAGGGGCCTCTGCTAAAAGGGGCCACTAACCTTGAGTTATTTTGACA